GTTCTCCAAAATGGCTTCAAACTGGTCCCCAGAGACTCAAAAACTGTCGCTTCATGTGTCTTTGCGTAAACCTCTCTGATTGGATTCTACATGAACAGATGTTGAACAGAAGGAGCCGTTTTATACGAGCAGATGTGAAAAACACAAAATAAAATGTTGAGTTTGTCCTCTTAGAAAGCTTCACATGAAAGAAGGAGAATGAAACTCACCGATCTGCAAACACTCCAGCTCCACTGATTGTCCAGCGCCGTCTAAGATGGCCTTGGAGACGCCTGAACAGAACCACACAGTGAACGTCTGCTGTCACACAGAACCAGGACGACACCAGAACCAGCTAGTGTTCAGCCTCTAGTCATGGATGTAACGGCTAAACAATGAGAGCATGTTCAGAAGCTGTTCAGTCGCACATCCTGAGTGAAACTTCAATGATTCATCCTGAACTCCTGCTTCTGAAGTATCAGGATTTCTTATTTACGACTTTCACGTTGGCTCCTGTTCCCTAAATCTGTCGGCAGGTTGTTGACTTTAGAAAGAAAAAATCTCCAAAATGACGCCAAAGAGTCACAAAACAACACAAACAAGAGAAATGTGGAACAAAACCAGAAGAACCCAAAACGACAAAAAACAAAACACAAAAATGTCAAAACGAGACGCAAAACTGTAGAATTAAGATGTTGAACAATAACAACACAAAACTGTCAAAACAAGAATGAGACATTAACCAACAAAAGTCATACACAAAATGAACTCAACAGGAAGGAAAAACTCACCTGCTTTCAGCGTGAAGTCCTGATTGGACGAGTTGACGATGACATCACTGGCCTCCTTGGTGATGTCACCAGACGACACCTCAAGGGTCAGCTGACCCACCTGCATCCGATACACACCGAGGGACGGCGACAACACGGGGCTGATGGATGCTGACACACACACACACACACACACACAGGTTACCGTCACGTTGTGTCTCAGATCATTGATTGAACTCGTTTCTCTAAAATCAATCAATCATCAATTAAAGTCACAGTTTAAATTCTCATTTCTGTCTTAAATCAATAAAAGTCAACGTTGAGTCTGAATGAATCAAATAAAGTCATAAATGAATTAATCAGTTCTGATTAAACGCTCAGAGAGGCGCCCCCTGCTGGACAGACTGTCGTCCTGCATCAGGAAGTAAACGACCGGCTCACCTGCCGAGGGCTGTGATTGGCTGACGGCTCGACCAGCAGGTGGCTCGGCGGCTTCCTTCTTCGGACCAGACGGAGCTTTAAACTCTCTGCTGAAACACTGACGACCACTTTATGTTAATACAGGAGCAGATGTAGTAATAATAATAACAACAACAACAACAACAACAACAATCATAAAGAGTTCAACTGCAGCTGTTGGTATTTATTTAAAATATTTTATTTCTATTTCAACTCTAAAGAACAAAATCTGCCTGTTGGTGTGTTTAAAGGAACATTACCTTTAAATAATAATAATAATAATAATAATAATAATAATAATAATAATAATAATGGATCAATACTAAATCACCAAACACACACAAAACACACATAAATACAACAATAGATCTCAGACTAACAAGGTGGAACAGAGTCACTGGGTGAACTGCCAAAGCAAAAGCTCTTATTTGATTGGCTCAGACACCTGGACACACCTGGACACACCTGGACACACCTGGACACACCTGGACACACCTGGCGTATGAACCAATCAGACACTAACCTCCAGGGTGGGGCTGTCGGAGGGGTGAACGACGACGGCCACCTCCTTCAGGTGTTGGGGCGTCCTGGTGCGGCTGAACAAGCGGATCTCGCCCAGCAGGACTCTGGACACCACGTCTCTGGGGAAGCCCAGGTTTCCGGTTCCGACGGCCGGGAAGGACAACGACGCCATGCGAAGCTTCTCCGCCTCGTCCAGACAGAACCTGACGATGGACACCAGCTCCTGAAGCACAGACACCAACAGAAGCACAATAACTACTAGCAGCAACGTACACAGGAGACCAGAGAGTTCTGGTTCGGTTCAGCTCATGTTCCTTCACTGAGGTTCATGTTTCTCTGCAGCTCTGTGGAACCAGAACAACAACTCAGAGACGTCTTCTGTCAGCAGGACTCGGTTGGTTTTCTTTTCTTATTTTACTAAACATGTATAAAACGTGGAACCAACGTTTCCTCAGATGTTAAAACTCTGGACAGAAACGTTTGTGTAACCACACCTCTGCATCACATGTCCTTTATTTCATTTTATGGTCGTTTTGCATCACGTTCTGGTTGTTTTGTGTGTTTTTTGCCACATTGCGGTTGTTTGTTTGACTGTTGCGGCCGTCCGAGGCTCACGGTGGTGGTGTTTGGTGACGGCTTCTAAACGGTGAACTGTCTTAATTAAAATCAGCTCAGTGTAAAGTGAAAACGTTTCTGACAATCTCATGGAAACGAATATATCGACAGAAAAATCCAGCCACTAATCAGAGGTTTAGTCATTAATTAATTTACTGCATTTTTATCAAATAGCAACATTTGACACAGGAAGTAAAGTTTTTCAGTTCAAATACGTTCTGGTTTTACGACAAACAACCAACATGTTGATTATTCTTCTGTGTTTATCTGCGTTTTTCATCCGTCTGCTGCGTTCACTGATCAGCGCAACTCAAAGTTAGTTACAGCGATTATAGCCAACGTTTTAAGACTTGGTTTGGTTTGACAACAAGCCCACAGCTCGTCATCGTTTAAACTTTCTCGTGCGCTGACGTTACTCATCCTGAGCATCTTCTTCACGGCTACAAACCAACTTTAGATGCATTAGCGCCACCTGGCGGCCGGAGCGTGTCATCAGTGTTACATCAGAAAGGCGACATTACATGCGCTTTTTGTTTCACGTGTCGTTTCTTCTGTAATTAATTAATCGAAATGAGGCCGTTAAAGTGGCAGCCCTGATTCAACACAGGATTACGGCTGAGTTAGGCTGGACTTCTAAGTGTTTCACAGCAGCTGCAGATTCTCAGAACAAACCTTCTAATGGACCGACTCGTCTCCTCACTCTGCTGTCAGCTGCTCTGAACGTCTTCACACTAAGTAGTTTGAAAGCATCGACACCGAGCTGCTCTGAAGCGTCTCACCTCCTCTGCCAGTCCGCCTCTGTTGTCCCAAGGAGGACAAACGGTGTGAAAGACTTTCCGGCACATGAGACCGAAGCCGTCGGTGACGACCACGTCGCCGTGCTGCAGCGTCGCGGCGGAGGCTTCGGAGAGAACGGCCACCTGCAGCCGTTGTCCGGCCGCCTCCAGGATGGCTTTGGAAACGGCTCCCTGCTTCAGGTTCTTGTTCTCTGAGATGGTGTTGACGATGACGTCGGTCTGAAACACAAAGTGAGGACGGACTGATGAGGTCAGCCACGTCTGGAGGCCTCAGATTTACCTGCTGCTTCAGGAAACTGTGAGAAAAAACTATCAAATCGTCTAAAAAGGTTCATTAAAATGTGAAAAAACTGAGTGAAAAATAATCAATAAAGCCACAAAATATTACACAAAAGCTTCAATCGTAAATTAAATATGCAGAATTACTACAAATCCCAAAAAATTAATTAATTATCCCAAAATATTAATACAACATCTGAAAAATGTAAAATGAATATTTAAAAATATTTAACACATGAGAAAAATATTACTAAAACATTTTTTAAAGAAATGTTGGAAAATCTTACTGCAGTGTTTTGTTTTTTTTAAATGCAAAAAAATATGCAGAAAAAGAAAAATATTTGTAAAATGTTCTGGAATGTTATTAGAATTTCAGAAAAATATGAATAACATGTGTAAGAAATAATCCTACAAACATCCCAAAGGCTTTAATAAGATGTGAAAAATATGTAGAAGATCAAACTCGAGCCCAAAATATAAAGACATTCAGAAACATGTTAATAAAAAGTGCACAAAATTATACAACATCCAATCAGAATGCCTTAAAAATAACTAAATGTCAAAACATATTTACAAAATATCTGAAAAAAGAAATCTCATGTATATCTTTAAATACCCACATTTTCAATAAAACTTGACCTGAATAAAAAGATAACTGAATATTGAGCCTTTAAAGGTAAAGTTGACTTCCAAATAAAATGATTCAGACAATCTGGACAATCTTCATTAAAACACAGACTATGACGATGTGATCCAGGCTGAGTTTAGCTTTAATCCAGGTTTAATGAATGATGTGATCTAAACCTAAAGCAGCATCCTGTATCCTGGTGGGGATTTCAAAGGCAGAGTTGGGTTCTCACCTTCTGCTGCTCGATGTTCCCCACACAGAGAACCACCTTCAGGCCCTCGGCAGTGATCTGCTCCGTTCTCCTGCAGACGACAAATGCAGCTTCATGAGCAAACGGTGAACGCAGTGTCAAAAATATCCAAAAATATCCAAAAATATCCAAAAATATCCAAAAATATCCCCACAAAATCATCAAAACTATCTGCAAAACATCAAAAATGTTTTTAAAAAATACAACAACAAAAATACTAAAAGTAAAATGTAGAAAATCTTTTATAAAAACATTGATTTTAAACAAAATGATCAGGAAACTTTTTTCTTTTTAAAATAAACTCATGAAAAATTTCCTGCGTTTTGTCACGTTCTCTTTATACAACAAAAAAGTCCAAATGATTAAAAATGTAATCAGACAGTAAAAACATTAAGAAATAAAAACTTTCAGATGAACCTTCAACAAACAACCAACAAACAACCAACAAATAATCCAAAACTAACCTGAACATTTTTATAAGTCACCATGATCCCTCTATTCTTTCATTTAAAGATTCACCAAAAACAGAAATTCTGAGCTTTTAGGTTGAACTGCAGGCGGTGTGAAAACCAGAGGATTGAGTCGGTTTTAATGAAAACTGTCACAACGAGACACAAAATGACAAAAAAATACACAAAATGACGAAAACAAAAGAAAGACGGACACAAAGGGACACGAGATGACAAGACAAGACAAAACCTGAGAGAATCGAGGCAAAATAACACAAACGAGACACTAAATGACAAAAGGAAGACGAGGAAAATCCAACCCACTGGAAAATAAATGGCAGCGTTTCCACAGAGCAGAAGAAAGCTCAGAAACTGGTCAGAGGTTCAGAGGGTTGAAACACTGACTGAGAAGCAGAAATGTAGACGAAGCAGAGGATGATGAAGATGCTCACGTTTCTCTCCCTCCAGGCCGGCTGTGTCCTCCCCGGCTCTGACCTCCTCTGTTGCCCTGAAATCCAGCTCCTCTTCCTCCTGCTTCACCAGACCAACCTCCTCGACCTCCTCCTCGACCTCGACCTCGACCTCGCTGGGCGCCGCTGAGGAGTCAAGGAGCAACTTGGTGAATGAACCGATGCAGAAACAGAAATGTAAACAGGAAGCATGAAGGTTTTAGCAGCTGTTAGCGTGGCAGCTAGCTGACTGAGAACATGCTGTGTCCAGTCTGAGCTCTGAGTCTTTACTGTCATTAGTTTATGTGGCTCAGCAGCTGGTGGTGGTAGGCCTGGATATGCAAGACTACCTTTGGACAGCAACAGGCTAGCACCTTCCCCTTGCTTCCAGTTTCTATGCTACGCTAAGCTAAGCAGCTGCTGAAGACTGTTTATTTTACCCAGAAGCCCTGGTGCCTCTGCCGGCGGCCGGCGGTGGGACGGTCATGGTCGGTTCCAGGTCGATGAACTCGGTGTTGACAGCTGCAGCCATGACTCTGACGGTGTCTTCCTTGTTGTCCACCAGGTGAACCTCGGTCAGTGACCGCGGACCTTGCGGACTGTCGCAGTATTCCCGCACCGCCTGAGCGATGGTCTCGGCACAGAGCTGGACCGGGAATCCGAACACCCCCGAGCTGATGGCCGGCAGGGCGACGGAGGAGCAGTTCACTGCCTCCGCTTGTCTCAGACTTTCTTTAACTGCCGTCTTCAGACGCGACACCGAAGTCTTCCTGTCGAAGTCGGAGAACCGCGGACCGACAGCATGCACGATGTGCTTGCAGGACAGGTTATACGCACCCGTTACCATGGCGTCGCCCGGACGCAGAGGTCCGTTTTTAGCCACGTAGTCGTCGCTGGTCTTCTGCAGCTCTGGTCCTGCAGCCTGAAGCAGAGCCAAAGCCAAGCCGCCGATGTGCTTCAAGTCCTCGTTGGCTGCGTTGACCACAGCGTCGACGCTGAAGCTACAGATGTCTGCCTTGCTGACAGAAACCAGAACTCTGCCGGTGGTCTTCACTTTGCAGTAACAAACATTGTTTTCTCCCTCATAGTTTTCTTCCTCGTCTTCGTCCTGGACCTCTGGGCGAAGCACCACCACACAGCTGAACTCTGTCATGATGGTCGACAGGAACCAGCCTCCCGAAGACTGGAAATACTTCTTGGCTCCAGGCTTGTCCACGGTTAGGGTGTCAGTGCAGAGAGCACTCGCCAGCTCCTGAAAGTAGGATCTGGCTTTCTGGACGTGAAGACGAGCCCCAGCGAGGATGATTCTCGGCCTCTCCGGATCAAAGCGGACTGCCACGTTGTTATCTCTGGAGATACTGGACCAATCCTGTGTTTTCTTCTTGTTGATGAACTGAACAACAGCGCAGGATTCAACGCGAACCGCTTCTTGAACTCTTGAGTAGTTTGTAATGAACTCCTTCAGACTGCGGCTCACCTCTCTGACGGGACTCACAAAGCCGGCAACCATCACTTTGTCTGAGTTGGTCTGAATGGCCACAGTTTTCTTCTTGGAGGAGCTGTAGGTGTCCAGCAGCTGCTGCTTCAGGTCCATCCAGCCGGAAAGCTGCATCACCTCTTGGTCCTCCACATCCAGAATCTGCTGGGCCAAAACCGCCTTCATCTTACTCTCTGCATCAGCGAGGATTCTGTCGGAACTTCCCAGCAGGAAAAGCCCTTTGTTGTCGACGGTGTAGATGGCGCTGATGCCCTGGGACGTGAACAGGTCCTGGGACATGTCTGTGTGATCTACTGTCCCGAGGAAGTTCAGAAGACAAGGATGGATGTTCAGCTGTTTTTTGCACATGTTCATGTTCCTCTCCAGGATCCAGGCCTTGGTCTCGAAAACCTCCGCAGGGAGTCCAGCGATGGTCAGCTGCTGGGTGGCGTCATCATAGGAGAGGTTCATGTCCGGGGAGATGTCCTGGGCGGCTCTGTTCAGCCCCTCCTGCTTCAGGATGTAGAACATGGCCGGAGACAGAGGCATGACCTCAGAGACGCCGTTCGTCTGCCGTTCAATGACACTCATGGCTTTCAGAACAATGTTCTCCACAGAAGCCCTGATTTGTTTCATATCGTCAGCTCGGCCGGCGACCGTCAGAACCCCCCTGGAAGCATCCAGCACCGGGACGCCGTCTTCTCTCAGGACCGAACGGACGTCTTTCTCTGCAATCTTCCACGCAGGCCCATTGGCCTGACACTCGAAGGCCGAGTACTGGGACATCAGGCGGCGGAAGGCGTCCAGGGCGCTACGTTGCCAGCCGTCGACGTGATTCGCTGTCAGACCGGCCTGTCTCAGAAAGCTGGGCAGAGGGCTGAGCTTCACGTCGGGTTGGTCCAAGTCCACGCTGCAGAAATGTGGACGCATCTGATCGCTGATGCTTTGGAACAGCTTCTTCATCTGGAGGAACTTCCAGACAACGGGGTGAACGCTCTCAGTGAAGGACTCGGGCAACTTCCACGCCGGTCGCTCTTCGCCGTACAAGGCGGTTCCCAGCGACTGGTAGAACGGGTACACCTTGACAGGGATGGAGCGGATCAGACAGTCTTCTTTGATGCAGATGTTCTGCACAGCTGCAGCAGGAAACAGAGAAACAGAGGTGAGCTGAGTGGACTTCAGATGATGCCGTGTTCTTTTATGTTTCTATAAAGCCATACACGACTCTCAGAACAATAGTGGTTCTTAAAGGGTTCTTCATAGCACCAACTCTTTATTTAGGGAACTGTTCTTTGCATAAAAAAAAAAACCCAATTATTGTTTGTTATGTGCGTGATGACCGGTCCGTAGAACGTTGTCTTGCTTGGAACCGGTCCGTGTCTGAAACAGGTTGGAGCTGCTGTTTCTAATAGAGTCACTTCGTGGTAATGTCGAGAAACTAGAGCTGTAGTTTTTCATAATCTAATACTGTACATTATTTTCTAAAGTAATCAATAACTAATTGGTCTATAAACTGTAAGTTCCCATAGATATTCCCAAGCTGTTACCGTTTATTATGTGGTTCTGCTGAATGTTAAATATAAACAGGAATTTACTCATAAAAGCTCTTTAACTCTTTTTAGAAAACCTTTTTACAAATGTCAGGATGTTTTTTTATTTCTATTTTTCAAGTGTTACTGAAGCTGCTCTGAAGACGCTCCGATGTCCACATGCTTTTAAATAATCGTTGTATTTAGACTTTTGGTTTTAGTTAGAATTCACTTTGACTCGTCAGACATCGGCAGTAAATCAAAGTAAAAACCTTTGTGGTCGCTGAAAGTGACGACAGCAGCTTGTTCCTCAGGAATCATCACGACGTCGTCCGGCAGAGCGAAGTTCTTCTCAAAGTACATCTCCAGCAGGTCTGCGAGGAACCAGAAACACAGAGATATGGATTCTACTGGACATGACCTGATGAAGCTGACCATCCTGGATGTGACCAGCAGGTGTCAGGAGAGCTGAAGAGTCACTGCTTCACATGTTTCATAAAACTGTTTAAAATGATCCTTCATCACATCCATCCAACTGGACCAGAAAAACTGAAATAAATCCAACTGTCAGATAAAGGTTTTTGCTCATTTTTAAAGTATTTTTTCATTTTATTGTGCCTATGTGTTGAAATACCAGCCGAATGATGCCACACTTTCAAAAAAGATTTGTTTTATACGTGTAATATAAAAAAAAATAAGGTAGAAAATTAACAAAACTTAGAAATGGGACGTTTCAGAAAATGTACATGATGCATTTTATTGCTGTACCTGATTATTAAATACTACAAATAGACACATGAGAATTTTAAATTCTTGTTGTTTTGATAAACTTTAAATGAAATGCTTCGTAGTTTGTCTGACGGAGCTGATATGAATGAAATCATAAAGCTCAATAAATGTATATTTCCATGTATATAATGGAGCATTATTATAAACTGAAATGTCAGATTTTGTCTCTTATCTTAAGGTTTTACAAATCGTGGACTCCTGCAGGGAAGAGGTGAGAAAAAGGAACAAACTGGAGTAAACCTTCAACATTAAACGGGTTCTTTCAGGTCTGAACACCACAGACGTGATGAGATCGAGAATAAGAGCAGATCAGGATGTGGGTCGAAGCAAAAGGCAGGACTGAAGAGAAACAAGCTCAGACGTCAGAGCTGTGTTGATGTGAAACACCAAGAACCAAAGAGTCCGAGGAGCCGCTCACCTTTGACCGCCGTCGGAGGAAGATTCTCCACCCGGACGCTGGTCGCCGCCTCCAGCCGTCGAGCCGTGAGTCCGTGTTTCTGCAGCTTGGCGCTGGTTCTGCTCACGGCCAGGAACCGGTCTGCGTCTGAGGAGCGCCACAGATCACAGTAATGATCACAATAATGAGCACAGATCATTCCTCTCAGCAGACAACCAGAGGGACAGAAAACAACATCTAGAAAAATCTAGATTCAAAGAAGCTCCACATTACTGAGAACAATAAAGATTTATTTTCATGCCTTGTGCTTCCTGCTGTAACCTGGAAATCGATCTGCTGGTTTTAAAGAACGTCAACGAGACCAGAAGGCTTCTGGAAGAACTCAAGGAACCTTGTGAAGGTTCCTCAGCAGAACATTCTGAGTTTAAAGAGGATGAGGAACCACTGCGGCAGAGCTTCATCAACTCTGAACTCTTTCATATTATTATAGATAATTAGCTAAAACAGATAATAGTCGTCTAAACCTAGCGGATGATTGGCTAAAACCACTAAACAGGTAAAGGTGATGTATTAGCTGATCACTCTTCACTACTTCTAGGCAGCTGTTGTTGCCTGTAGCTTAGCTTAAAATTATTATACTTCAGAAAAATCACCTTACTGTGCAAATAAAGCACCAGAGCTTATAAAAAAAAAAGAAAACACAAAGAATTATGGGAAACTGTTTCTCCAGTTAAAAACTCAGGCAGAGCTTCCGGAGCAGCGAGGAGACGACGAGGCAGACCGAGAGGAAAATCAAACACGAAACGTCCACAAACGCGACACAAAAAGAGAAAGACGAGACAGAAAACGACAAAAAGGAGACACAAAGTGAACACAGAAATACAAAACTGTGTCCCAAAGACGCATAAACCGACAAAAACAAGACACGAAACGACAAGTGCAAGAGATAATGAGACACATAATGACAGAAGTAAGATATTAAATGACAAAAACTAGACGAAACAACACAAAGGAGACAAAAAAACAACAATATAGACAAAAAAGGACAAAAACAAGAACAAAGACGGACACAGAGTGACTAAAAACTGTCCCTGTGATGCATAAAACGACCAAAACGAGATGCTAGATGACAAAACAAGATAGAAAACAACATAAAGGGGACACAAAGAGAGGAGCATCCAACCTACCGGATCAGTACAATAAACGCAGCATGGCTCAGAACCAGTGACCAGAGCAACAATAAAGAGACACAAAGTGAACACAAAGACACAAAACTGTCCCCAAGATGGAGAAAGTGATCAAAACAAGACGACAGAAACGAGACACGACCGTCCTGAAGACACTCAGAGGAACACAGAGTCTGTTTGTAATGGAACCAACGGAACCAACGGAACCACAGACCGTAGATTTAGACATCTGAACCCAGAGGTGTGTGTTTGCGTCGATGCTTCGTACCTGCAGGGCTGCTGAAGGACACCACGGCTCTGCTGGACTCCAGGATCACCTCCAGGCTGTAGCTGCTGTCGTCCAGACCCGACACGTTCTCCACCAGCATGGACAGCAGGTCCCTGGACATCCTGTCAGGGACGTTCTCCAGAACCACGGCGGCGCTCCGACGGTCTGACGGGACGACAAAAGCCTGCTTCACCTTCCATCAGTCTTCAAAGTAAAACTACATCCACTCAATCGTCTCTGCTGATCTGGACTGATTCTGAAATGTGCATCTGACACGAGAAGTCAGTTCATGAGGAGAGAAAAAGCTCGTACTTTTACGTTTACTCATTAACTGATGTATTTCAGACATTCCACAACATAATAAAGCAAAAAAAAGAAAAGAAAACACATAAAAATTAAAAATAAAACCCCCAAAACCTTAAAATAATGTCTGAAAACATGAAGGATGAAGTTTAATTTACTAACTTTTACCTGCTGCATCTCATATTTTACGTATTTTACCTTCACTGTTTCACATCAGTAGACTTTTGTGCACATTTTCTTAAATGGTTTAACATTTGTGCTCATTTTTGAGATCATCGCTGAGTTTAAAGCTGATAAAAATCGACTTGTTTCAATCAAAACTGTCACAAATGGACATAAAACGACAAAAAACCGACACAAAGTGGCCTGAAAAAGACACAAAGGGACTAAAAACTTCCCAAAAGACGCATAAAACGACCAAAACGAGAGTAAACTTACTAAAATCAAAAATCAAAAATGTCATCAGAGGGTAAATGATTGTTTCCTTTGTTCTCAGATTCACTGAACCAGTAAACTTCTAAGTTTTTGTTCTGGAAAACGTTGTTGGACTCAAAGTTGTGAGTCCAGTTTGTTGTGCTCAGATCATCCGATGACTACAGGTGTGTATTTCAGGTTTTTAATTTGTTAGAAAAACTTTCTAAGATCTGTGTAACTGCACAAAACAGGAACTCTATTTGGGTTTAATGGAGCCCAGAACAGAAAGTGATCACGACCAGAAAACGTTTGATCAATCTGAAGGAAGACTTTTTTATTTTGTTTTTATTTGTCTGGAAGCTCCAGAAAAACAACCAACAGAACTTTTATTGAGGACGTTTTGGTCAAATAACAGTAAATTATGATTAAAGCTTTTTAAATCGTGTTTTATTTTGCATCTTTTGGTTTATCTGACAGGAAACGTGCACATTAAGAACCTCATTAATCACATCAGTTCTCACATTGATGTCTAGTGTTTCTGTGATTCTTGTTGTGTTATCTGTGATCTCTACAGTCCCGTGTTGCTGTCATGTGTCTGCTCTGTGTCCTCTGACGCATTAAATCAACTGAATGAAGGAGTCAAAGCTGCAGTGGTTAGAGTCATGTTAAAGCAGATCCTGGGCTCTGGCTGGTTTTTACCGTCGTCGCTGGAAGACGAAGCTCCGTCTTCAGCTCCACCTTCTGACTTCAGAGTGTTTGATTCTGTCGCTGAGCCTGAGGACGAAGAGAGTCGGGTTTAGGTCCAGTTTAGATTTACTGATCCTCACTCAGGAAAACAATAAAAAACAGGAAATCAGACGCGAGTGTGTTTAAAAAAACATCACAGAACTCTGTTTGTTTCCATAAATGGAGGAAATCTCTTTCTCCAGAACCTCCTCAGAACATCTGGTTCTGTATCAGCTTCATCTACTGACCAGAGTTCTACCTTCAGACTGTGAATGTTCCAGAGGTCCAGGTCCTTGAAGTCCACAGAGGAGGGTCCAGATTGATCACCTTAATGGATTTTTTCCATCATTTCTGAGCCTCAGAACTTCATCAGTACAGCAGATAGACACATGACATTTAGGAGGAAGAACACATCTGGGTTCTGCTAGAACCTGACTGCAGATCAGTTCTACATCCATCCAGGTGTCTCAGTCTGAACACTGGACCTGGTTCTGTTCATTATTACTGTCACCATCTTTGAGCATCAGTATTATGGGATGGATCATAGTGTGAACAGTTTAACGTCTATGACACAGAGTCATAGAAACAATCATTGGTACCCTGGATGTGGTTCTGGTTCTGATCATTCACCAGAGTGTATTCTGGGTAAACTGTCCAGGCTCATATGTGTGATGGTGGTTGGTCAGAACCAGTTTTAGACGATGGAAGGACCGTTTTACCTCCAGAACCCACCAGGACCATCTGTAGGCAGGATTCATTGTGAGTAAACACTACTTTATAATAAAACTTTCTGTAGCTCTGAAAGTGTTTATAGGATGAAGGTAGAACTTGGTTTTTTAGAGGTTTACGTCTGGAGCTGAGTGACACCGACACACTGCTGGACAACAGGTCAGATGTCAAACATCAGCAGATTCCTGTACATCAAGTCAGTAGAACCCGAGAAGCTCCACAGAGGAGCAGAGTTTACCTGAACCGCCGCCGCCGCCGCCGTCCGTTGGGTCCTGAGGAGAGAAAATAGAATAAACAAAAAATCACGAGAACATCGTGAAAAGGTTTCATATTTTAATTTAGCTGAGACTCATTACAGGTAAAGGGAAATGTGTCAGGCTTCAATCAATCAATCAATCAATCAATCAATCAATCAATCAATCAATCAATCAATCAATCAATCAATCAATCAATCAAGTAACAGTTTCTCTGACAGATCAAGAGTCCTCCTGAGTCATTTGGCTTCTATGGGAAGTAAACGATGGCAGCAAACAGTCTGAGAGGAACCTCCACATAGTTATGTACAGATACATGTCTCCTGGTCAGTCCCATAATAATAATAATGTATATGTGCTATAAAATAAACGGTGGTTCTGTTGGACCGCTGCTCGTCATGTGGAGGCCACGAGCTGAAACCTGCACAATCAGAACCACCAGTTGCTGCTGCTGCTGCTGAGCTCAAGTGTTTTGGGAAACAAGAAGCACTTTTGAATAAAATGTGCAAAGAAACACAAAATGAGGACGTTTGTGTGGCGTGAGGCCGACGGAAACCCGACCCACAGACTCAACAGAACCGAGCTGTTGACCCGTTCCAGACTGAACGTCTCTGGTGACCTGGACCACTTTGTTCTGTTGGTGTAAAGTTAAACACGAACACGCAGAACGATGACTCAGCTCGAGGACAGACTCCGATCAGCTGATTTTATGGCCTCGTAAACCTGAAGAACACGTTGTCATGTGACGGAGGAGCCGCACCCAAACCGGCGACCGGCTGAGAGCTCACCTGCTGCTCACGGCTCACCTGCTGCTCACGGCTCACCTGCTGCTCACGGCTCACCTGCTGCTCACGGCTCACCTGCTGCTCACGGCACCGTCCAGAACAAACCTGATGTACTGATGTTTGGCTGAGATGTTTCTATTTTTATCACAAGACACACCTGTGAAGCCACTTCAACAATCTGATATCTCCACAAATAAAACTCTGGTGGCAACTCAGACAGTTTGATCGGATCAGAACGACTGAACGGATCCAGCATTTAGTATCTATTCAGTGAAATCAGCCTCGTCTGTTGTTACACGTCCACATGAAGCAGCTTGTAGCTCTGCACATCCAGAACCAACATCCAGAACCAACA